GGCATGGCTGATGTACTGAACGAGTACTTTGCATCTGTCTTCACAACGGAAATGGATGCCCCAAATGCCGCAGTATTGGATGAGAGGGTAGAGGAAATAGATCAGATTACTATAGACAGAGAGGAAGTTCTGAAAAGATTGACTGGGCTCAAAATTGATAAGTCACCAGGACCAGATGGGTTTCACCCAAGGTTGCTGTGGGAGATACGGGTTCAAATAGCGGAGGCTTTGGCCATTATATTTCAATCTTCATTGGACACAGGAGTGGTGCCAAGAGACTGGAGAGTGGCTAATGTTACCCCCTCTACAAAAAGGGGCAGAAAGACAAACCCGGAAATTACAGGCCAGTCAGCCTAACTTCGGTAATAGGAAAACTACTGGAGACCATAATCCGGGACAGAATAAATCTCTACTTAGAGGAACATGAGGTAATTAGAGACAGCCAACATGGATTTGTTAAAGGCAAATCTTGCCTAACAAATCTAATAGAATTTTTTGAAGAGGTGACTGCGAGGGTTGATGAGGGAAATGCGGTGGACGTTATTTACATGGATTTCAAAAAGGCTTTTGACACAGTACCACATAAGAGATTAATAAAAAAATTAGAGGCCCACGGTATTAAGGGGACAGTGGCAGTTTGGATTAAGAACTGGCTGAGTGACAGAAAGCAGAGGGTGGTGGTTAATGGGTGTTTCTCGAAATGGAAGGAGGTGTGCAGCGGTGTCCCCCAGAAATCGGTATTAGGACCACTGCTCTTTCTAATATATATTAATGATCTGGACTTGGGCTTAGAGAGCACTATTTCCAAGTTTGCAGATGATACAAAGTTAGGTCGGGTAGTAAAGAATGAGGAGGACTGTAACCAACTGCAAGCAGACATACACAGAATGGTGGAATGGGCTGACATGTGGCAGATGGATTTCAATGGTGATAAGTGTGAGGTGATACACTTAGGTAAGAAAAATGATAGGAGGCAATATACAACAAAAACAAGATTCCATTTATTGAGCGCCGTTCATATCGGGAGGACGTCCCAATATAGACTTGGTAGCTCAATCTTAAGGGGGGTGAACGTACAGAGAGATCTGGGTGTTCAAGTAAGTGAATCATTAAAGGTAGCGGCGTAGGTAGATACCTAGTAAAAAAGGCATTTGGTGTACTGAGCTTTATTAAGAGCATAGAGTATAAGAGTAGGGAGGTTATGGTTAATCTATACAAAACACTGGTTAGGCCTCAGCTGGAGTACTGCATCCAGTTCTGGGCACCTTACTTCAGGAAGGACATTAAGGCACTGCAAAGGGTGCAGAGGAGATTCACGAGAATGATACCAGGAATGGGGAACCTTAGCTATGAGGACAGGCTGGAGACGTTAGGACTTTTCCCATTAGAGCAGAGAAGGTTATGCGGGGACCTGATAGAGGTCTTCAAGATAATGAAAGGTTTCGACAGGCGAGATAAGGAAAAGCTGTTTCCGCTGGTAGGTGTGTCTGTGACCCGTGGTCACAGTCTTAAGATATCTACCAAAAGAAGCAGAGGGGAGGATAGAAGAATTTTTTTCACTCAGCGAGTTGTTCGAATTTGGAATGATCTGCCTGAAAGGGTAGTGAAGTCCGATTCGATAACAGCTTTTAAGAGAGAACTGGATAGGTATCTGGGGAAGACGGGTTTGCAGGGTTATGGGGAGAAAGCTGGTGATTGGGGTTAGTGAAAGTGACTTGCTCTGTCAAAGAGCCGCACAGACTCGATGGGTCGAATGGCCTCCTTCTGTGCCGTAACTTTCTATGAATCTATAAAAAAATCTAAAAACTTGCGTAGAAAGTGTCAGCCAGGCTCAGTTGGTGCATTCTTGTCTCTTGAGTCAGAAGATGCCAGTCAGGAACCCAGTTGTCTTGTTCGACCCTCAACTGTCTTTTCTCCCCCACATTCAAGCCATGAACCGCTCTGCCTTCCCTCACCTCCGTAACATCGCCTGACTCCGCCACTACCTCACCCCTCAGGCCGCTGAAGCACTTGTTCGTGCCTTCATCACCTCCAGGCTCAACTATGCAAACGCCCTGCTTGTCGGCCTTCCCAACTCCTCCCTCCACAGGCTGCAGATAATCCAGAACTCCGCAGCCCGTGTCCTCTCCCGCAACAAACTCCGTGACCCCCATCTCCCCCACTCTTGCCCGACTCCACTGGCTCCCTATCCTTCAGAGAATCCAGTTCAAGATCCTGGTCCTCACATGCAAAGCCCTCCATGGCCTCACCCCGCCCTACCTCTGCGACCACCTAACCCCCTACCAATCCGCCCGCTCCCTCTGCTCAGCCGGCTCTGGCCTGCTCCACGTCCCCCAACCCACCCGCCCCACCATTGGCGGGAGAGTCTTCAGCCACTCTGCCCCCAATCTCTGGAATTCCATCCCACAACCACTCCGCCTCGACCCCTCCTTAGCCTCAAGTCCCGCCTCTTCAACCATGCCATCGGCCACCCCCCTTCCCCTCCCCTCAGCCCCCCCCCAACCCCAGCTCGCGTCTGAAATGCTGTTCCCTGTCCAGCGCTTTGGGACGTCCTCCCGACGTGAAAGGCGCTATACAAATGTAATCTTGTTGTTGTTGTGGCTGTTTGTGGGATATTGGTGTTTGGAAATTGGCTGCCACATTTGCCTACAAAATACACAGTCACCCTACTTCACAGTAAATGAAGTATGAAGTGCTTATCCTGTGAAGTGCTTTGAGACACCTTGGTGACATGACAAGGCATTTTAGCAAATGCAAGGATTATTATGAATAAAGGAAACTAGACTAATTATTATTATAATTGAAGATCTTGTAATTAGCTGCTAGTATCGTCTCATGAATTAGTTTCCCTATAACCACAACCATGAAGAAAATCTATTGCAAGCTTCAATGATGGGAAGTGGTTTGTTTCAGTTGAACCATACTTAGTCTAGTATAATCTTCAATTATGAAAGGAACTTATTTTATTGTTAGCAGTGTACACCATTACAAATACATATTTAGAATAGGAAATCTGAATATTACTAATTTAGTATTAGGACATTATATTTGAACATTTATACATGGACATTCAATTTTCTGACGGGATTGCTTCCACTAATCCAGACCATATTTCACTCTCTCAGTTTTTGGGGGTCTGGATCCACGGGCACCATATGTGACTGTTCTCCGGAGCTGGCTCCAAGTTGACATTCTTGGCAACGGAATACCATAATCAAGTCACCTGACCATCAGTGGGAATCTCGATAGTCCACGCCTCTGTTGAGTTCTCAGAGATGCTACCTGTGTACAAGACTGTTACACATGCAGTTACCTGTCTGATATATACCTGTATAGCAGATATACTCTGGGACAGTGATTCTTCCAACGTGTCTCTTATTGAGCCTATGTGCCTTGGGACGTCCTTTCGACATGAAAGGCGCTCGATAAATGTAATTTTGTTGTTATTGTACAAGCCAAACCTCTAACTGGTAGGATAGTCCTAGCTGGAAAGCAGCAGAATATTTGCCAGGCTGTGCTCTCAATGGCAGGGTACGCGATCTTAACGGATTAAACTGTAATAGTATAACCCCAACGCACACCATGAGATTCTCAAGCCTTGGCACCAACCTGCATCCAATACGAGGGGAAATCGCTTTTGAATAGTATGCAAAGATGGGTTCCTCATTCTCTTTTCATACTCTCTATGATGGGTTCCTCACTCCCTTTTCATATCCTCTCGTTCCTTTTCAGGAGGGATTTGAAACTGTCCCGGGACCGTAATGCTGAACTGAGTGCAAAGACATTGCTGTTATCCCAACAAACATACTTCCACATTGAGTGTTGTGGTAGGCTGGTGGGGATGTGGGGGTAGGGGGGGGTTGGTAATGTTGAGGAGTACAGAGTAATGATGTCTCTTCCCCTCCTGAGACATGCCCTTTCTTTGGACACGCACCTTCTCGCGAGAGATGCCCCTCACCCTAGGAACTCCCTTCCTCTTGGCATGCCCCTCCCTAAAATCCACCCCTCCCTCTAGACACGCCCTTCCTCTGAGACACGTCTCTGAGATCATGACTGATCTGTACCTCAACTTCAATTGCCGCCTTTGCCCCATATCCTTCAATACCCTGACCCACAACAACAACAAGGTTGCATTTTTGGAGCGCCGTTCACGTCGGGAGGAGGTCCCAAGGCGCTGTACAGTTGGGTCAGGACCCGAGCAGGTGGGAAATGGTCAGGGTGAGGGAAGGGAGGGAGCGAGGAGTCGAGAGCGGAGCTGAAGGCACGGTCAAAGAGAAAGGTCTTGAGACCGGCCTTGAAGGAGGAAAGGGAGGAGGCGGCGAAGGCACTGGGGGTTGGAGTTCCAGAGCCTCGGGGCTGAGAGGCTGAAGGCCCGGCCACCGATGGTAGGGCGGTTGGGGCGGGGGATGTGGAGCAGACCGGAGCCAGAGGAACGGAGGGTACGGGCAGGTAGGTAGGGGGATAGTAGGTTGGAGAGGTAGGAGGGAGCGAGGCCATGAATGGCCTTGTAGGTGAGAATGAGGATCTTGGACCCAACAAGTCCATTGCCGTAGCCACGCCCACCTCCCGCTAACCACGCCCACCTCCCGCTAGCCACGCCCACCTCCCACTAGCCACGCCCACCTCCCGCTAGCCACGCCTCAAAATCGCCTCGCTAAGTGGTGGGTGCAGTGGAGTGAGGCGGGGCGGGGCGAGCGGGGATCGCCAGGATCTGATTGGCCAGGGTCCGGGGAGGGGGGGTGAGGGCGCCACGCGACGAAAGAGGGCGGAGCCGCGGGTGACGCAGAAGGCGTTGATTGACGTGTGTGTGGGGTGGTGGGGGGGAGGGGTGTGCGCGTGCGTGCGTGCGTGTGTGCGTGTGCGTGGGAGAGGAGAGGAAGCGGTGACGCGGGCGCGGGTATATAAAGGGCTGCGCGGCTCAGCGCTGGCGGTTGCTGGTCGGAGTCGGATCGACAGGCGGCGCATGCGATTCACCCCCCAACACCCCCCCCCCCGCCCAACCCTCCTTCCCGCCCGGCCCCGGCGCAGTCTCTCTCTTCTCGGACCTGGCGTCTAAATGATCGAGCCGCAGTCTTCAATGAGTAAGCACATCCCTGTAAGTGGCCGCTCGCCGCCTCGAGCCGGCGGCGGGGCGAGATCCTGGGGGGCGGCGCGGGCGACGGTTTTGCCTCACGCGGGGCGGGTATTGTCCCGAGACGGCGGTTATTGTCGCCCGTCCCCCGGGACTGAGGAGAGGGGGAGAGAGAGAGAGAGAGAGAGAGGACGGGGGTGGAGGGGGGGAAGACGACAGCCATTCCTACCTCCTCCTCCTCCTCCTCCCCCCGAGCCCGGGGTGTGGAGTCGCTCTGCTCGTGTCTCTCTCTCTCTCCCCCTCTCTCCCTCGGTCACCGCCATCACCCGAGGCCCCGGGCGCTGCCCTCTCTCTCTCTCTCTCTGTGTGTCTCCTCCACGGCCGTTAGTCTCCCCCTCTCCCCCCCCCCCCCCCCTCACCTCACCCGCTGATCGGCTCTGTCCAGGCCGCTCAGACACGGCCCGAGACTGGTCGTGACTAGTCTGGGCTTGTTTTACGTGGGGGGAGGGGTGGGGGGTGGTCTCCGCGCGGCCACTTGACAGCGCGGCAGCTGCTGCCCCGTCGTGAGGGGAGACACCGCCTGTCTGACCCCCCCCCCCCGTCTGGGTGGGGAGTGGGGGGGCAGAGACCCCGTCTGGGTGGGGGGGGGATGCTGTCTGGGGTGGGGGGGGGCAGATGAAGACTGTCAGAGCAGGGAGAGTAGTGAGAGAGACTGTTTTGTCAGGAGGAAGGTGGGGGTGAGATTGTCTGGGGTGGGAGGGGGACGAGTTGGTGTCTCTCTCTGTCGGGGGAGGGGGGGGAGACTGTCTGCTAGTGCGGGGGGTGGGTGGGTGGGGGGAGTGAGCGAGAATGTCTGTCAGGAGGAGGGAGAGAGATTGCCTGTGGTGGGGAGGGTGGGCCAAAGACACGCTGTTTCAGTCTGGGGGGGGAGAGATGCCCATCTCTCTGAGGGAGGGATTTGCCATATACTGTTTCTCTGAGGGATGCTGGAGAGAGACGCGATTGTCTGGGATGGGGATGGGTGTGGAAGAGGTGCCATCTCTGACTGGGGAGTGGGGGGAATGAAATGCCATCTGGTGAGAGGAACAAGCTGTTTCTCTGGCGACCGGGGAAGAGGCTGTTTCTCTGGGTGGGGGGGGAGGAGAGTTGCTGTCTATGGGGGTGGTGGGGTCAAGGGGAGAGATGTCTATCTGGTGGGGGGAAACGCGTCTCTTGTTTGAGGGGGACATGCTGTATCTGTCTGGGGGAAGGGATGATATCAATTGGGGAGGGGGTTGGGATGAATGATACTGTCTTGGGGGGAGGGGAGAAGTATGCCTTTTGTCTGTCTGGGGAGAGAGAGAGAGGAGATGCTGTCTTTTGCTGTCTGAAGGGATGAGATGCCGGCTGGTGGGATGGTGTGAGAGATCCGGGACAGAGTGACTAGTGGGACGGATTTAACATCTAGTTTTTTTTATAAATTAGAGGTTAGAGCTGCTTTTTAAGTGAATAAGTTTAATTTAAGATCAATACTTGGAATAAGTGATGTGCATAATTTTGAATTTTGTTGTAAAAATAGTTCTGAGGCTGCTGCCAAGTTGATTTGTGTCAATGTAGTAGCTTTCTGCGAGCATCATATTAGTTCACTTAAATATGTTCGAGGTAGACTATAGGAGTGTCGGTCTTATTGCCATTGTTGTGATCTGGCTAATCTCCAGGAGCAGATAACTGGTATCTAGAAATTTCTAGATCAATGCTATAAACCTGCATAGCTCTGTAAGAATGAACGTTCACAATTGTTAGCATTTAGATGGAACATAAAATTTTGTTTGGATTATTTGTATCCCTTGCAACCTTCTGCTGTCTCTCTAAAGTTGAGTTTCATTTACAGCTACTTGCTGTACCACCATGTTGGTTTGCTTTCTTGCAAGCTATAACCCTTTTGTGGGTGGCCCATCAACGCTTCTGTGATAGCTGCTGAAAGTTGGAACAGACTGACAGCTAAGGAACTATTAGAAAGATAATCCCTTGTTAAATAATTCTCTCTGTTACACATAGATTGAAATCTGAACTCTCATATTCCCAATGATTCTTACTTTAGTCATCACTTAGTTGTAATTTTAGCAAGTATAAAATGAAGCAATTAATAATTAAAGTCTTAGGTGTGTGCTGTTTGACAAAATGCAACAGTACAGCAGTCACCTCTACTCCCCTCAATTCTCAGGCAGGTGCTGCCAAACGTTCGTGATTTAAATCTCCAGATCCAGCATCAGATCTGGTTAGACTATTAAAACTATTGTTCTGCCCTTGCCTCAGCTAAATCATCCAAGGATCTTGGAGGCAGAAGACAACCCCAGGTTCCTCTTCACCAATTGCCTCCTTTGCCACCTTCCCATGCCCTGCCCATCCTCTCCTCCAATTCCAAATGTGATTTGCTCAGATCCCAAATCAAGATAATCTTTAGCTTCTCTTCTCAGCCCCGCACAATCACATACTACCTTACTCGGGGCTTTGTCCTCCCCTTCACTATGTTCCTACTCAGCAAAGCCATCCACAGATACGGTGTTAACCTCTGCATTCATGCGGTTGATGCTCGACTGTTATCTCTGCCTCCACCCTCAATTCCAGGACCCTGACTGCTTGTCAGACATCAAGTCCTGGATGAGCTCTAACCTTCTCTAGTTGATTGTTAAGGTTTTCCTGTTTGGCTCCCTTTAGTGCCCTCTAATCTCGGCCGCTGACAGCAACAATCAAGATGGATTACGTCGCAAAACTGGTCAGAACTTCAGTTTCTTCTTTGACTCTCAGTTGTCTTTTAAACCCCACATCTGTGCTCTGATCCGCTCAGCTTTATCCAAACTCTGAAACATTGCCTGTGCTTCTACCACTGTCTCTCCCCCTCAAGCTTTTGAGACTCCTCTCCATGCACTTATCAAGTCCAGGCTAGACTACCTATGCCTATTCTCTGCTTGCTGGACTCCACAGCTCTTCCTTACATAAGCTGCAGGCTAACCAAATTCTGCAGCCCATATCGTTTCCTGCATCGGACTCATGGAGGCTATAACCCCAACCTACCCCCCATCCTCACCCGACTACATTGGTTCCCCTTGCCCGGCAGACAGAGTTCACGTTCCTCATTCTTGCCTGTGAATCCTTCTATACGTCCACCTCGCCATACTTCTCCAACCTCCTCAAACCTTACCAATTTGGTTGCTGTCTTCGCTCAGCAGGCATCAGCCTGCCTCATTATCCCTGCGGGTGGGCCTTCAGCCTTCCTGCTCCCACTGTCTGGAACTCCTCTTTGAGCCTACCTCTTCGACTGCGCATTGGTCATCTTTTACCACCCCATCTTCAGCTTGTGTGCCAAACCAAGATTGTTAAGTGGGGTGTTGTCTTGAAGTGCTAGGTGATATATAAATGTAAAATTGTATTGTAAAATAAACATCTTGTGAAATGGTTGTAATCAATACTGTATGTTCTTGGCTTTTACAAAACCTAATGAGACTAAGCTAATTGCACTTGCGGAGTAGCTCCCTTATGTAGAACTCCTTTTATGGATAGTGGAAAGTTTAAATTTAGGTTCTGAGATCCAGCACAACAATATATTTAGGGCATGTCTGACACTGGCAGTAAAATTGTAAGTCAAACTTGGATTAGCAAAAATATTTTAATTTGAAGCTTGCTGGCAAAGAGCCGGATCTTGCAGATTTGGTTTGTCTTTATTTTCTCTGTCTCTCCCCTAAAAGTAAAGCACTGAATTGTCTGTTTAACCAAACATCAATAAATTGCATTTATATCACGCCTTTAACATTTGGAGAATGACCCAAGGCCTGTGACAGTCAAGGGTTTGTATCTGAACTAAGCATTGGGATCAAGAGGGGACTTGTTGGAATAGGAAGGTGGGGAAGGGGTAAGGGTATCGGATAACAGAGAGGGAATTTTGGAGGAGTGGCTGGAGGTGAGGTTGTCAGGAGGCACAATGGCTTAGGAGTTCAGATGACTCCAGGGGGACATGAAGCAAGCCGGAGCCCACTGAGTAGAGGGAGGGGGCAGGTTGGTAGGGGTTTAGGAGGTTGCAGAGGTCAGGGGAAAGCAAGGGAGTGGAAGGCTTTGAAAGTGAGGACCAGGATATTGAACTGTGTCCTCTGTGTGATGGGAAGACAGTGGAGTTGGGCGAGGATGGGGGTGATAGGGTCACGGAGCCTGGCGTGGGAGAGGACACAGGCTGCAGAGTTCTGGATGATCTGCAGCCTGCGGAGGGAGGAGTTGGGGAGGCCGACAAGCAGGAAGTTTGTATAGTCGAGCCTGGATGTTATGGATGCGTGTACAAGGGTCTCGGCAGCCTGTGGGGGAGCTGAGTGATGTTGCAGAGGTGCAGAAAAGCGGAGCGAGTCATGGCACGGATGTGGGTTATGAAGGACAGTTGAGTATCGAACAGGACCCCTAAGTTCTGTATTGGCTCTATAAGATGTAGAATGCCTCCATGGAGGGAGATGCTGTCAGCGCCTGAGGTATGAAGGCGCTGACAGGAGCCAAGCAGGAGGGTTCCACCTGGGAGTCTCTCATTTTGTGGTAAACAGTGTCCTTAATTATTGAAGACCAAAATATCTTCAGAGGAATCAGAGTAATGGTTTTGAGCACACAAATTTGTTTATGTGCTTGGGTAAAATTTACTAGAGCTCCCTGATGGCTTAGTCGTGTGAAAGGCGCTATACAAATGTAATTTTGTTGTTGTTGTTTGTTCAGTGAATAGCTGAGCTATGTGGGCCAGAGGTGGCAGGCATTGGGGCAGTAGAGTTGGCTGTACCTGGAGGAAGTGTATTCCTGTGAAGGTATCTTTTGGAAAAAAAGGATCTGGTTCAGCTGCAAATTGCTTCTTGGCCCTGAATGAGTTACTGGAGGATGACTGGAATTATCAGAAAAAAATTGAGTCTTAATTGAATTGGGCATTTTTTTTGTTTCGCTCTTCAAAATGTTTTTCTCGGTATTCAAATTGTTTTCTTTGTATATTTATTTTCCTGGTAAATTTCACTTCAAGTTTTTGT